GCCAAATGATCAGGGATGCTCCTCGATGGTCCTCGCCGCCAGAAAAATGCACACGTCCGAGCGATGCCAAGGCAAAAGCGCAAGCCCATCGACCGTCTGAGCGACGCCGAGCCCGCAGCCCCGACCCGGGAGGCCCGCCAGAGACCCCCGGGGAGGCGCGCACGAGGCCCCCGCTGGCGGGGGCCTCCCTGCGGCACCCCCCGAGGGGTCGGCGGCGCGGCGCGGGCCCGAGGATCACTCCTCGGGAAAAGCGCTCTGATGGAGGAGGAGGGGGAGGAGGAGGAGGAGGAGGAGGAGGAGGAGGAGGAAGAGGAGGATGAGAGAGGAGGGGAGGAGGAGGAGGAAAGGAGGAAGGCGGGATGAGGAGGAGGAGGAGGGGGGAGGAGGAGGAGGAGGAGGAGGAGGAGGAGGAGGGTAGGAGGAGGAGGAGGAGTAGGGGGAGAGGAGGAGGAGAGGGAGATAGAAGTGGGAGGAGGGCAGAACGAGGAGCGGGAGAAATCGAAGGAGGAGGAGGAGGAGACGAAGGAGGAGGAGGAGGAGGAGGAGGAGGAGGAGGAGGAGGAGGAGACGAAGGAGGAGGAGACGAAGGAGGAGGAAAATAGGAAGGAGGAGGAGGCGGCGGAGGACGAGGGGGAGCCCTTGTTAGCTGGCGCCCCCCGATCCTCGGCGTCGGCCGCCGCGGGCGGCGCCTCCGCGGACGGCGCCTCCGCGGGCTCCGGGGCTGGAGGGGCGGGCTCCTGAGTGCACCACGGAAGGCTACGCACGGACAGCAGGCCCGCGGACAGGGCTGGACCTGTGAGCGTTGTGTGTTCGTTTTGTGTTCGTCTTGTTCTCCGTGTCGCTCCACCTGTCTTCCGGTACCCCCCTCCGCCAAGACGAGAAACAAACCACAGCCGACGCCCAGCAGAACGGCGTTCAGGTCCAGCCCTGGCCCGCGAGTTGTTGTTTCGACGTGCCCTCAAAGAGGGCGGTCGTCTGTGGAAGCTCTGGCTCTCCGCGGTGGATCCCGCCAGCCCTCCAGGGCGTGACTGGCTTGGCGCGCTTCTTCTTCTTCCTACCTCCGATCGTCCCCTTCGAGGAAGGGTTTAGCCCTCCCCCTCCCCCATCCCCCTGGACCTGGAGGGGGGGGAGGTCGCGAGGTGACAGAGGGCGGTTATGGGCTCAAGATGGCTCCAGGAGAGCCTCCGTGAGCACAAGCTGGCCTCCAAGATGGCCCAAGATAGTGCAAGATCGCTCAGGAAGGCTTCCAACATGATCCAAGAGACCGCACAACAAGTCCAAGAGAGGGTCCAAGTGGCCTCGGAGTCTCCCCAGGACGCTCCGAAGAGGCCAAATTCCTTCAAACACCTAAGGAACATCAATGATGTTAGCCTTCTCGCCCGTTCGCTTCAGATGGTCTTCCGAGGCCTCCAGATGGCTCCAAGAGGGCCCTAGATGGCCCCAAGGGGTGGCCAAGATGGTCCCAAGAGCACCCGAAGGCGCCCCAGGAGGGGCTCAAGAGGCGGCGTTCGGGGCTCCAGAGGGGCGACCTCAATGGACTCCCCCCTTGATCATATAAACCATCGGACACTACACGGTCTTGAACGAATTTGGGCTTCTCTGGGGCATCTCTAGGAGGCTTTTGCCCCATGGGGCTCCAAGGTGACCCTGAATGCGCTAAGATGGCGTCCGCGATGGCGTCATATGGTTCAAGTTGGCTCAAGATGGCATTCACGATGCCTCCAAGAGGCGCCATGATGGCTCAAAGATGGGTCCGAGGCCTCAAGATGGCTTCAAAACTGTCAAAGAGTGACCCAAGGCAGACCCAAGGATGGCCCCAAGACGGCCCCCAAAGCGCCACAAGAGCGCCCTAAGAGGGCCCCGAGGGGTGACTTGTGTTAGGGCTGCAAGATGGTGCCAAAAAGGCCTCCAAGGCCCACAAAAGGGCACCAATAGGGACCTAAGATGGCCCAAAGAGGCCCCCAAAGAGGCCCCGAACTGGCCCCAAAGAGGCCCCAAGGCCCCTCAGAGACACCCGAGACGCCCCAACAGGCCCCCGGGGCAGCCAAGGGACCCCCAAGACGCCCCAAGAAGCCTCTGGCCCTTCTGCTCCTCCTCTTCCTGCTCCTCCTGGCGTCTGGTCTCCCTCCTCCTCCTCCTCCTCTTCCTCCTCTTCCTCCTCTGCCTGTTCCTCCTCCTCCGTTCTCTCTTCTCCCCCTCCCCCCGCCATCTTCAGATTCCTCCTCTATCCTCTCCCTCTTGGGGTACGACGGCTTCCCCAGCCCTGTCTTACACTGCATGCTCCTCCACATCCCTGATCACGGCAACTCGTCTGGGCGTGGTTTCTGGGCGGGCTGGTGGACACGCGAAGCGTCTAGACTGTTGGCGGCGCGCCAGGCGACGAAACGAGAGGGAGTGGGCCTTCCCAGAATGCTCGGACGGCCCCAGGCCTTCTGCGAGGTGCCCCGAGCCCGCTCCAGAAGACACAGGCAACTCCCCCCGAAGGCGCGAGGGCTCCAGA